CAGAACTGCGGCTTGCGCTCACGGCTGGTGACCTGCAGGTCTCGCGTCTTAATCCATTCGACGATCCAACGTAAGCGGCAATCGCAGACGAGGAATCGTCCGCCCAGACTCAGACCGCGCAAGGTACCGTTCAGTTCGGCGAGCGCCTCTTCCGGTACCGTGGACAACGGGTTACCGTCGATTGCTAGCAGCGTGATCGACGGGTTTCCTTGAAAGGCGTTGACCGGTAGTTCGGTGATCAGATTGAATCCAATATCCAATACCTGGGATAATCGACTCATTTTATTAAAAATAATACGGCTTGATCAATCGTCAAAAAGAAGTAGTTGATAATAGAGAAAAATGAACGTTTTAACTTAACAGGATGTTCCGTTAAAAATTGATTGAAAGATTGCGCAGAAAAATACTAGATATTATTAACAAATCATAATTTTTTTTTCGAATATTCGTCTTTAAAGCTGATGGCTTACCGGATTGTCTACAATTTTTGATTACTTACTCTAAGGTCGTGGATGCTATTGATAGCCGCCGTAGGGAAATCCGGGATGAGATTGTTCAGTAGGCTGAGGGAGCTCAGGGTGTTTCTAATACCGTGAAACGCCTCCGGGCCTATATTCTGGATCAGGTTTCTCTCGAGGTTTAATCCCGTGAGGGAATCGAGACCCTCGAAAGCTTTGGTTCCGGATGTGCCGGGAAGCTCGCGTATGCTGTTCTGCGAGAGGTCGAGGAAGGCCAGAGTCCTCAGCCCCCTGAGCGCTTCCGGCACTTTCTTCTGCCGCGTTCCTTTGAGATTGAGATTCTTCAGAGTTCTCTCCAGGCCACGAAACGATCCCGGAGCGAGAGTGACCTCGTTGTCGGATAATTTCAGCGTGATCAGTTTCATGCCGGCGAAGGCATTATCGTTGACTCTTGTAATTTTGTTCATTGAGAGATCGAGCACAGTGAGGTTTCTCAGGGTCTTCAGGTTGATACCGGGGATTTCCGTGAGCTCGTTATCTTTGAGATTCAAGCTCCTCATGTGATTCTCCTGGCCCTTGAAGGCCTCTGGTTCGATGCTCCTGATGCGGCATCCAGACAGCTGTATATTGTTGATCTTCAGGATGGAGAAAGAGTTGTTCCTTAGGGTACCGATCGTGCTATTATTGATGTAGAAGAGATCGATCGGCGTTTTGGTGGCGTAGCGCCGCATCGCCGACAGCAGCTGTTCATAGTCGACGATGTCACACTGCACCGAGAGCTCGCCGGCTAGATTGTAGTCGCAGATGCACGAACTCTCGAGATCCACCGCGTGTTGCGACCACGGACAGGCGGATGTCGTTGCTGCGACGACGAACGCGCCTGCTAGCAGCAACAATAGCTCCTTCGGAATTGCATCTGAAAATCAGGATAACAAAAACAATTTAGAAAATGATAAACAGAGTCTACAGAATCTACAGAGTAAGTCGACAAGCAGATTGTTAAGTTTTCGTAAATATGAAAAATTTTATGAAAAATAAATTGTAATGACAATTATTTAGGCCGTTATTCATAGTCTTCATGATCGTCTTAAGTAATGTCTTAAGACGCTAATACGGCTCTGTGATTGGTTCATGACATTTTAAGATTGAACTTAAGACGGTCTTAAATAACTATGAATACCGGCCTTAGTCTGTAAAAAATACGGAAGAATACAACA